AAAAAAATGCGAATGAGATAAAAGTAACAGACCTTCCGTGTCCATAGCATTGATTTGAGATTCGACTTCCTTTGCAGACATCACGCTGAATCTGATTGAATCTTTGAGATTGCGAAGCATTTTCAAGCTGCTCATCCAAAGCAGCAGCTTATCGGACGGCATCTGGTCACAGAAGGTCATGGCAGCATCAAATACTGCCTGAGATAAAGCCAAGTCGTTCTCCAGGGATTGGTCGCTCCCTTGCGGCAACTTGAGGGGAAGAAGTACATGATTGATGATATATTCCAGGCTAGGTTGATCGTTTGACTCGGAAAGACGATTTGCTGTTGAATATTGAGCCATGTTACCAATGGATGAGAGAGGAATTGGCCACTGACCGTGAAATTTGGCCCCTTCACTAATAAGGAACGCCAGGCGCTCGTCCTCACGCCTCACTGGGCTGGATCCACATAAAGCGAGAACCTTTGTGTACAATGCATCACAGAAGTTTCATATCAGATCTGGGGCCTGAGGCCTGAGGAGTGCCATCAGTATGAGCGTTGAGGCTGTACATGGGCGTGTACCAGGAATTTGATCGTGCGTGCCTAGGCCGAAGGTTTGATGCTTGATAAGAAACTCCTTGCTTTAATATTACCTCGCCACTGGCCCACTGCTCAGGTATAACGAGAAAATTTTTTGAATCCCTGTATTTAAAAAAACAAAGTTGGCAGAGGTGCTTGGAGTCCCTACATCACGCCTGCCTAGTATGGGTGTGATCACACCATGTAACGAAGCGCGGTGGTCCTGTCTTCCATAGGCCTGCACGGCATTTCGAAGAACCATCCCTAGGATTCATCACGCCCCACATATCATGGTTCTAGGCCGTCCACCCTAAGATTCTGATTCTGATGTCACATGCTATAGGATGTCTGTTGCCCCAAAATTCCTCGTACATCCTTCTGCATCGGATCTTAGGTTTGGCACACTCTGGTCCGCCACAAGAACGCGCAACGCGGTGGTGGGGTTGGGGTCGTGCAAGGTGCGCACTCAAAATCTGAATATTGAATCCCAGTAACCACGAAAATTTGCCCAGGCGTCAGTATTTGTGTTACATGACTTTACGTAGTACGATAAACTCGTGTTTGAAGCTCAGATGGATACAGAAACCATTTCGCTTGTCATCGTGCTGACTTTATTTTATCAAGGCTCAGTTAGCATCTGAAGACGACTTGCATCGTGCTGCCATGAGCAAGGATATCGGGAACCTTCTCAGCAGTCGTGTCATGGACATAGGTCATCCACGCATATGCAAGGTTTGGATATGGCTTCGATAAGGTGTTATCAGTGACCGTTCCTGGTTAGTGATACAATTACTGAAAGTCGTGTTGCATATCTCCACAACTACTTTCACCTGCATCTCAAACAGCTGACACATCTCTGACATCAGTTGCGATCTTCCGCTCCTTCCGCTCCTTCCGTCACGTCGACCCGCTAGTGCACTTGCTCCCCCACAACGACATAGCCACAACTCTATCAAATACCAATAACAATGCAATAGCCATCGGCCTCCGACTCGTTGGCATACTTGACACCAGCCTGTTGAATGTATCTTCCACCTTGAGCTGGCAGAACAGAGTCCCACCGTATGAGCGAGGCTATGGTTGACTGAAACAATTTGTGGCTATTGGTTGTACTCACGAAATACAGCAGTAGTAATATTGATAAGGCTAGACAGTGCCTGAATGAATGTGAAGGACCCTGTAGAAATTGGGCTGGTCTCCAGGAGTTAACGAACGTCTGCATACGGAACGTGGGTTGCGGGTTGGACCCTGGGCGGTCTTTCCACCCGACGCTCTCTCTACTCCATGAAGTACCTCCCTGTCTTGGTCCTCATACATGCCTCTTACCGAATCGTGTTGACGAACAGTATCCCGGCGCAGACGAAGCTGGACTCCCGTCTCTGTCAAAAAATTTGTGCTATAATATCACTGACTGTAACTTATGGTCGCAGAACTTTTACATGGAATTTGAGGGTTGCCATCGGATGATCGTCAAGGCTGTATGTGGGCACTCGCTTGAAGAATGACTTAAACAACGATCGCAGGCTCAGTTTGAGCCTGAAGGTTTGATGGCAACCAACGGAAAGCGTTCTAATTGCGGAATCTGCTTATCAAAGTGCATCAACTTCTTCACGATTTGGTGCTCACTAGTGTCGAATATCTCAGCTCCAACATTCCTCAATCAACCTTCCCTCCCTCTCCATCGCAGCAACATACTCCACAGCCTCAGCATTCGACCTTCCTCCAAACATCTCCGCTGCACCTCGCACAACTTCACGGACAGCAGTAGGCATTTTGTTCGAGGAACTATTATAGGAGCTTAAGATTCATCATGCGCTATATATAATCTAGACTCACCCTGAGATGATAAGGATGCCTCGTTGCTGCCCCAGCATTGTCCAAATATACTGTGCGTCCTTCTTCATCAGATCTTGCACATACGTCCGTTTAACACCCTCTGGTCCATCACGAGAACACGCAACGCGGTAGCGGAGTTTGTGTTGTTCCGCATGAAATTCCCATTCCGAGTGATAATGCTGATCCTTGTGTGCAGAACGACAACCAAAGTATAAGGTAGTATCTGGGGTCATAAAAGATCGGCTGATATACAAAGACGGCCAAACATGCTGGTATATCCCTCGTGTATGCGTTGCTCGATGACGGCACGCATAGGTGCAATGCCTACTCCTGGACCCACACACACCACTGGTGACCCGTAGGAAGGGAAATGAAGCCCTTTCTGAGACCGATACGAAGGGTATCTCCTGGAAATGATGAGTTCAGGGACTGCGCTAGAACGCCATGCGGACCTGATTTAAGCCCTGATAGATAACTAGTACAGACGCCTTTCCGATGAATTTTCAACTTTGTGCGATAGCGCACTATAGCAACACAGAGATGGATCTCACGGGGATGGAACTGCCGAAACCCAGAGATGAATTGGGCTGCAGCAAACGCATTTCGACATGAGCTCACCTCGATGGAACTAGCGATGGAGAATTCTCTTGGCCTTAGCGGAGGAAAGAGGTCAAAGACATACTCTCTCGGTATCCTTGCAGACCGGAACTCGGACAATACTTCCCAGGTCGTGCGTTTCACGCGTTGACAATAATCATACAATTCGTCCTGCACATCCTCAATAAAAGAAAGAAAGATGAGGATACCGACGTACCGCTCCATCTATTGATACAAATTCATCAAATTTTTCGCATTCGAGCTCGTCGGTAGCAAAATATCGGAGCAGTCAGAAAAAAAAGCGACGGGTACAGCATTGAAATCAAGATAGCGTGTGAATAGGATTTGAAGGGAAACGATTTTCGGTAGATGGTCGGGCAGCGTTTGATCTGTAAAATATTAGACGGGGTTTACTGGGTTCTGCTTGTTTCTACTCTGAAAAATTTGTCGGCAACATTTGTCCAGCCCATGGTGACAAGGAAAGAGTTGACTTCTGATGCAGCTGCGGATGGATCAGAATTACAGTAACATCTCCAGGATTATATCTGAGATTCCCCATCAGTAGCTGCGAATTCAAAAGACAAAAACCCGTACTTTATATCGTCTTCGAAGGAGAACTCAAAATGGCGTACGTCCTGAAACCAATCTTCCGCAGTGATCCGTCTGTTGCACTTCACAGAAGCTGTATGAAACTTCTTGTCCTCGTCTAGAGGATCTGGATTCGGAAAGGTGTCAGATCCCAAATTGCTAAAGGATACGCGAGGTGGTGGTCGACCAGCCGGAATGTTATGTTGCTCGTGCGGTAATGGGTAGAGCTGTATGAGGACTTCTAGGAGACGCTCGATCCAAGGATCCAATGCACCATCTACCCTGCACTTTGATTAGCCACATGGAACACGGAAAACAAAGGATACCCACCCTAGGCGATGCTGTTCATCTCCTTCTCCTCGTGAGCAAATCTCATAGCCTCCCAAACTCTGCATCCTTCTCGATAGCTTCTTTGCCGGCCAACAGAATTTCTCATAGGCCGTGTCTCCGAGGCCGAACACGCAGAAATCCGTGTCCTCGAATAGGTCATCTGGGAGATCAGACCTCAGCAACATGTTCCATAATGAAGTCATGGCTCTGGGTTCAGCGCCCCAATCAGTGGTCGAAACCACGAAGATGACCAAGTGTTCTGAAATCAATGTTTCCTGCACAGAACCTGAACACAGTGTTACAACAAGTGAGAAGCCGCCTACTGGTGGATACACATCTATGCTCTGCACACGACAGTGAAAATGGACTCTTCGACATTCCCTCGCAATGCGATCAGCAGTCTCTTGAGCTGTACCTGTTTCCGTAGCGTAGAGGGTTAAAGTTCGCGAGATGCAGATGAATGTTGATCATCCTCTGTAGTTCCATGATCACCGTGTGTAGACATATGTTGGACGTTTGATGAACATGAAGACAGATTATCAGATGGCTAGAAAGAAGGGACGGTTGTCTTCCTTCTTTCAAGGTTTGACCACTAGTTTACGGGAGAGCAGGCCTATTTGAACTCTGAGCTTCAATGTGAAAATCACCTTAGTAGCCAGAAGACCCGGTAGAGGCTCCAACCAAATTTCTAACGCCTCAACGAAACATCATAATTTGAGGGTGAGTCGGGGGCTTCCGGCACTTAGTACTAGTACACCAGTAAAAAAATCAAAGTTTGTCATAGGCATCAGTAAAAACCCACGGTTCTTAAGCAAATTTAGTGTTGGTGAGTTTCGGCTTTCTCCATTGCTTGCTTTCAACTCATGCGGTGGAATGAGCGCTCGGTGGATGAGCCTCCTTTATCTGATTAAGATAGAAATATTGGATGTCTACTCAAGCAACAAACTATAACATTTCAGATTCGCATACAAATACATTCACGAAGAACATCGCAAAATTACATCATGATGAAGGCTAGTGTTGTCACAATCGCTGTAGACCAGAACTGCAGTCAGTCGGGTCCCTGGCAGAAAGGCGCTAAAACATACCCTAAACAGACCTGGCGCTCAGTCGAGAAAATCTCCCTCAGTCAGAATGCGGCCATTGAACATCTTTCCGAGGTGAGTTGGCAGATACCCCATGCCTTTCCTTCTCATTCCAAACAACTCCTTCAGTGGAGGAAGCTGGGATCGCTTGAACGAACACGATGCTCTCGCCCAAGGACGATTCTCCTCCCTGATAAATCCATCACTGTCGACTATCATGTCATCATCTCCCAAATCCGGCGCGTTGAGCCCTAAGAAGTTGCAAGTGTGGAGATACATCTCGTAGCTGGAGAAATAGAGTTGACCCGCAAAAGGTTGAGCTGGCAAATCAGCGGCTCCGGTGGTGTCAGATGTGGCATCGAAGGAATGCGGTAGAGTTGAAGATCATCGCATGCCTTCATCGTGTTTGCGGTGCGAGGAGTATAGACACATAAGTGAACTACATTGCTGTTCCGGATATCGGGCAGCAGTATGTTCACTTCGTTCGGGCTCATGACTACCAGCACTCCAACGTCACTGGATACAATCCAATTGACGGGCCGCAGGTATTCATCTGCTTTCTTCCTGGTAAGAAAAGTCTCCACCGTATGGGCGAAATCACGAGTGACTAAAATATTGTTTGCCCACTGATCGCCTTCATGAAATTCAGTAGTAGTGTCGACAAGGCTGGATAGCGCTGGAATGAATGCGGGAGACCCTGTAGGAATTCGGCCGGTTTGGACAAATCGACGAACATCCGCATGCAGATCCTGAGCCGCAGGCCTTACTTTGGGCGGTCTGTGAACTTGACGCTCCTTCTCTACCTCGTGGACTACCTCCCTTTCTTGTTCCTCACCCATGCTCCTTTCAGGTCCCATTAGAACTCCGAGCTCCTCGCACTTCCCTCGAATGTCTGCATCACAAACGTGTGATACCTGTGAAGGATTGCGTGGTGCGTACATATCCTCTAATGAACGCTCCTCTGGCTGCAACCAGGCAGTTTCAAGGGTGGCAATCGAAGTGGCAGGGGCGCGCGAGAATTGAGTCCATGCGGAATGCCGTGTGCTGAAATCCGATCCCTGTTGAACCCAGTGGAATGCACGCATCTGGATGTCAAAACAAGTTTCGAGCATCGCCAGTACAAGATATCTGCCACGTCGACATCGTCGGAATCAGCTTTCTGAGTCGCCGAACGAATGCTTCGGTCAACTTCCGTCGGAGCGAAGAACATGACCGAGTGTCCATTGCCCACCTTCCGCATTCGCATGCATCCTGTGTCATTGATTATTGTCGAAAACTGATATGCATGAACTCTGGAATCACGAACCTTGCGTCAGGCGGTCTTTCGTGACTTTCGGACCAAGCGTGACTGCAGCCCGGAAGCCGGAAGGAAGTTTGACATCCGTTCCTCTAGTATGCGCATCGTCTAGATATATCACACACTGATCAAGCTGCTGGGCAAAGGGGGACGACACAAGGGGTTCCACTGTCCCATCCCGACTAACAACGACAATTCATCATCATCATTCACGAAGACTGCAGCTTGAGCGTCAAGCTTGGCTCGAAGCCATGTCTCGGCCAATTCCTGATTCTTCAATTCCAGCATCTGCGCACCCACATCCAAGAGCACGCGGACCTCGGGGGTTTGTGCGATAAGGGCATCAATGAAGTGTGATACCTTTTGGCCGGGGGGTATGCATGTGTAGCAATTGTTCTCCGGGCGCAGAAGCAACGCCAGGACTCGGGCATTCGTGCTGCGTTGGTAATCAAGATCATGCTGGACTATTGAGCTCGGTAACAAATAACGATTGTCGTTGGTACCAGAAAAGCCAGTTGTGAGATGTCCCTTCTCTTGGGCGAGATCCCATCCGGAGCAGGTGAGCTTTCTGGGGAATCCCTTCGCTTCTTTCGGAAAAACTACTCGGGACAGGTAGAAGTCTATGACTGCCTTGTTGCATGCAAATAATTTCTGAAGATCTTGGAGCTGCTCTGCAGATTCCGTATTGATTCCGCTAAGGTGGCGCAGACTTTCTGGGACGGATTGAAGTCTAGCTATCCAGGATTCATACTCGAGGGCGGGATTATCCTGCTTTAGCAGGAGCTCGAAGCACAACATCAGCTGCTGGAGCGTGAGGCCCCCATAATAGTAAGAGAGGCACGTAAGGATGACAGCAACATCCGGATGGCCAAATTCTGCTCGCTGCGAGGGCATGTCTTTAGCGCGAAATGGAACAGCGAGCATAGTTCGGTTTGGGGCAAGGCCATAATCCACGCGCCAGCGACGTTCTTTGATGGCGTACACCAAGATACCGTACGC